CGGTATTTAAACCATTCGTTTGGAAATTTTTCCATTCATATGGTAATGGTTTACAGCGATATCTGGGTTTTCAAAATATTAGTTCTTTCAAAATATTAGTTTACTATGCATTTAGTAAAAAAAACAATTCTGAAAAGCAAATCTAACCGAATAAATGGTTTTTTATTGCATGTTCTAAGGTATCATGATAATAAAGATCAAATTTTATTACATTTACCAAAACTTATTGCATGTTTTAAAACCATATTTCGTTGTTTATTTTTCTAAAGCCAAAAATGTTACCAAATTAAATTATTTTCAAAATTAGTCAGCGTCTTGATATTCCCATAGAATCAGAAACAATGTCGTTTTTACCATGTTCTGGTAGTTATGACAATACTTTTTTTCTCATTGTAAATGTGCACATACAATGTTTTAAAATTAAAACATAATGGAAGCTACTTTAAGAATTATTACAATTTAAAACTGATTATTTGAAGAAAAAAAGAGAAACTAAAATGAAATACAGAAAAAGTGTTGATGAAAGAAATAAAAACTACCCTAATTTTTTGTAATTATGTTTAAAAAATATGTCATAATGTTCTTGACTGTGCAAATAATAGCAATAAAATAATAAGAAAGTAAAAAAAAAGGAAATTAAAATAATATTTTCCTCTCCAAGAATAAAAGTATCAAAATTAGATTTTTGATTCATATCTGTCTTACCACGCCATTTCTTAAAAGAATTTGTCTCTTATTGCAATAAAAGTTTATTCCTCCTAATACCGTAAATTCTATCATAAAGTTTGAATGCAAAAATATTTCGCATAACGTAAAAGTCCTCATATACGCTTTGAAGAACATAAGTAATTTGTTTTTAAACACATTTACATCATAATTTTCCTTTAAAATAATTGTATGCGAATACTATTTATTTTTTGCCATTAAGTACTTATTATAAACTAATTTCAGCCGTTGATTAGGGTCGTATAATGCTTAAAATGAAACAATATATTGCTCTTTTTTCTTAAAGCTTTAGTGATTTAAGCTCCTTTAGTGATTTAAGTAGAAAAGAACACTGGAAGCATATTTCAATTTAAATGCAAATTAATACAAGAAAAAACATTACTTAAAATCTGTAAAAATGTCATGATATTGAAATATCGAAAGGTTGGAAAAAGTTAAAGATGTCAGTCATTAAAGATATTTCTTCGGATTAATGACCGAGGATATTATTTATATTGCTGTAAGTCATTTTTGAAAAGATGCCATCAAAATGATTCGTGAATAAAAACAATATTCTATATTTTTTCATGAAATTATTTGACTTATGTTCTCGTTTAATTAAACATAAAATATCCACATTGCACAAGAAACTTAATTATATACAAGAAATTATGAATTCCATGATTTATTAAGGGAACAAAAAAATTTTTTCTAATAAGTAAATTATTTAATTTAATCGGTAAATAAAACTTTTAGATGAATTAAAAATTTTCTTTTAAATATATTAATTAAGAGTGAACTATTTCATAATTCGATAGGAAAGAAAGTATGCACTAATTAAAAAGAAATAGATGTCAAATTTTCTGAAAGAAGTAATAAAAATTTTGAAAGAAATTTTTATGAATAATGAAAACTTTGTTATTGTTCTTTGTTAATTCCGGATAACCGGTGCCGGAACTCTTTTTACTATAAAATTTATTCTTACCGGAACATATAAAGAACAAATATCTTATATACTGTAATTTTCACAGTAATAATTACCGTGAAATTTCTGAATCACTCTAAACAACTAAATATAGGTGAAAAAACTATGCAGTAATATTTTAAGGTAAAAATTTATTTGACGGTAAAGAGAATTTTATGGATGGTGCACTCAAAGTGTCGGTACTTTATTCCGTAATTTGATCCGGACTTTTTTGCAGTGTACTTGCCATATATAAAAGACCTTTATAAAACGTAAACGGGAACTTTAATAGTAATAAAGAGTACATATAGTTTTAAAAAGATAAATAAAAACGTTTTTGAAGCACATTCTAAATAAACAGAAATTTCTGCTTCTTTTTCATCTGATATAATTTAAGAAGTGTTAATATTTGTTTTTCGGTTCCACACTTGTGTTTTATTTTGTTATCATTTATAAGAAAGAATTTATTTTAATTTTTGTTTTTGAGGGAATTCTTAATATCCCAGAAATGATGTGTTGATGTAAAATGTAAAAATAAAAAACATTTTCATTCTTCTTTAAAGAAAATATAAAAGAGTATTTTCTATAGAGATGCATCCATTATTTTACAGTGTTTAAATGTCTACTATAGAAGTAATGTTTCAATTTTGTCCTTTGTAGACAAATTTTTCATCGTCATTCTTTATATTTAACAATGGTAAAAATTGTAGCTCGCTTTGCACAACACATTGTAGCTGAATAGGCTAGTATAGAAAGAGAGATTTTTCTCCAAGAATGAATATTTATGATTTCTAACAAATAGTTAGTGAAAAAATATCGCTGACAATACTCTATTCAGTCAAACAAAATATTATGTCTTGCTTCTTAAAAAGAGACGACATTTATTTCGCTTTGCATTTGTAAAAAAGAGATATACGAAATTAGTAACATAAATGCTGAAAAAAATACATTCTAAAATACAAATATAGTTTAATGAATATTGCCAGATTAAATTACATGATTAATGCATTAGCTTCAATTATTTTTGTTAAAGCTTTTTTCAAAATTTTAACTCATTGCTATTGTATCGAAAAAGAGAATCAAAATTTAACAGCAGAAATTGTCGTAAAAATAGTGTATAATTTCAAATTGAGATAATTTAGTTTAGGTGAGATTTAATTAATATTAGCTGAATTTTAAATTGATTTCAATTTTTTTAAATAATTTCGTTAGATTTTAAGTTTATTCAAAATTCTTTTTTTTCTTTCTTCCGCGGACTGATTTTCTCTACTATAAATATATAAATAAACTAATTACTTTTCGTTTATTAAAGGTTGCTTTTATGTATAATAGCTTTGTTGTGAAATAATAATGAGCGAAATTTTCGATGATTTATGCAGTTGCAAAATTTATAAGACAAAAATGGCTGCTCTCTCATCTACAAATGTACATTGCTCAGATTTCAGATTCTCCGAAAGAAGAAAAGCGAGCTAAACAATACTAAATCATTAATTTACTGATCCTTTCTTCCAACTTGACTTTGTTCAAAAATATGGTAAATTATATTCGCAGTGTAAGTCAAGGCTTATAAATTATTGTAAAAGAATAATAATCAAAGAGTGTGAGTAATAATCTACGAATAAATTATGTCAGTATTTCGGATTTTGTTTCACTTCAGATTGAGTTTCGGAAATATCTTAGAATCCTTATGTTAACATTACAAATAAAGATATTCATTAAAATTAATATATACATTTTAAAATTTTTAATCTTTTACAAATTAATATTTTCTAATTTATTTCTGCGTAAAAACATATCTTCCCTGATATTAAAAATTATCTTTGTTATGCTATAGTCGTATAGTTTATATTTTCTTAGTTAATCTTGTGTAGCTTAGTTAATGAACTTGCAAACTGTGTATGTTATTTTAAATGGAATAATGAATCTTTACTGACAATATACATAATAAGATTTATATTTATAAAAATCTTTATTGTAAAACATAATTTTAACTATAAAAAAATAAAAGTTTTTCTCGATCATAAACAATTTTAACGCATTATAGTAGTGCTTTTAGTAAAGCTAATGGAAAAATTAGCTATAAATTTGAATTTAATATTTCCAACTATAGAAAATATAGTTCTGAATTTGTATCATTTGATTTGTTGCTTCAAGTACTAATCACATAAGTGTTATTTTTTTAATAAAAAATTAAAATATGAAATTTAGAAAAAACACGTTTTCCAAATGGACTAAGAAAGAAAAAATATAGAAAACATCTCCTCACTTCAAATGGAAAACTTGGGGAAATTTTAGGAAAGGAAAAAAGTTTATTAGGAGAGTGGTGCACGTTTACGTCTTCTGTCTTATGTATGACAAAGAGAAATAATTTGTGTTTTTGAAAATCATTATTTTAAAAAACTTTATTTGAAAAAGGAAAAAGAAACTTAAGTTAATTTGATTAACTCAGAAAGTAGCCGAAGTTTTGATTGTGATAAAATGGCAATAAAAATTTGCTTTTAGTGATCAAAAAACGATTGTAATCAGATAAAGCAAGGATCTCCTTTTAAAATATGAAAAACATTTTCAACATGCATATGGAGTATTGAAATCAAAAATAACCGCTCTTATAGCAAAATGGAAATCAACTCTATCTACTAAAAACAAATGTAAATAAAATAAAAAAAGTGCAAAAATAAAAATATTATTTGATTAGTCTTAAATTTAAATAATCAAAGAATACTATTTAAAAGCAAAGGCTAAGTAGCATTTATTTAAGGACCTTTATTAAAACTAAGCCCTTAATATTGACTTTTATGTTTCAAGTAAAAAATTAAGTATTATTTGTTAATAAAATTAAATAATATTATCTTTCTTAATTTTAATGTAAAAATATGACTTCAAAACCATTGGCCTTAAGATATTTAGTCATTAAAGTTAGTTATCTTGATATCATTTCAATATTTTCCTCTTATAACTTATATTCCTTTAAAGTAACACATCCTAAAATAAGTAAAGTACCTTCGCAATGGCCAGCTGTAGGTGTTGGAGGATCACAGAGATAAAATGCTCTACAGTTTTGATACCAACAGCATAATGGTGCCAATCGAATCAGTATTGCAGGCAGACATTCCTTATTTCCCTGATTTGCTAACATCCATCAATCCGAAGCTAAGCGGACTTCAAGACACCTCCAAGAAAGAACCCCGGTCCTTCACCATGAAACCTCAGTACCTTAACCACTAAAAACTTCTAAAAAGCAAAACTTATAAATTTAAATCTTGCTTACAGTTTCTATTAGAAAAATAGTTGGTAATTTTACACTCTGATCATTTAAATGTTTATTTTTTAGGCAATAAAACTGCAGGAATCTGAAGATGATGAGCCGAATGTCGGAAAGAATGTTAGAGTCAAAGCATACGCTGGGACGCACAAAATATCAGCCAAGCGCATTGATCAAGTCTGCAGAGTGGGTTTTCCTATTTTGTTTTTGGTGTTCAATATTTGTTATTGGCCGTATTACTTAATTGTTTAAAGAGATGGGTTTAAGTTACTTTAATTCTCACTAAAGTTGGTGTAAAATGGCACCGAATCTGTCTCAATGTTAATTCATCTCAGTTTTAAATTTAATTTGGTATTCCATGTCATTACAAAATCATTCAGAAGCTTTAATAGACTTTATTTTCACAATTACCTTATGCCATTAAAATACATTCTATTAATGAATAATATTTCGATAAATGAATATATAAAGGAGATTTCTATGAGAGATACGAATTATATCAATGAAATATTGTATACAGAAATAATTTACTTTTAAACTTGTACACTTAGTTTAACAGAATTTGTACTTTTATTTTTCCTTAGAATATATTGATATTTATATTTAAAGTGCCAAATATTACATCAAATTTAACATTATATACATATTTCATATAAAAATTTACAGCTATAATTGTAATTTTAATTGCAAATATGCGATATTTGTTTTTTTCGGTTTTGCTAATCTGTTTCATCAATCTTTAAAATATATAGATTAAGTTGATGAATTGTTTATTTGTAAATGGTTACTTTATTATTTTTTGAATCTTCTAAATTTACAGATGCTAATTAATTATGGAAATTTGGTTGATTTACAAAAAAAAAATGCATTACACTTTCTTTACAATTGAGGAAGAAAAGAAACTACGAAAAACAGCATAGATAAAAATATAATTAGTTTTAGGCATTTTTTCATTAAAAATATAAATTCTGCAGATGGTAAGATAAATTTGAAATTGACTTTCTATAGCTTTCTTTATACGTATTTCTGAACCTAATAAAGATAATAGTTAATAATTATATATTATTGAGTTCAATGAGTCTTTCAAATGAAGGTGCAATCAGTAAGTCAACATTGTAAATATTAATCAAAATGTTGTTCTTTTTCCAACTATTTAAATAAATTAATTATAGAAATATATGATCAGATTTATCATGCACAGCTCATGTTTTCTCGAATTGTAAGTTCGATACTGTTAGGGAAAAGATAAGTACTGAAAACGTATAGTATGGGCTAATGCATTTAATATATTCTACCAAATACTTACCTAATATAAATATAGTCATTACAGTAAGTAAAAGTTAACATAAATGAGAAGAGAACAAATTTTGAATCTAATACAGACATATTTTGTATTTAACTAATCTATATATTATACAAATATATTTAAAATAGTACAAAGTAAATCAAAATAGTAATTCAATTTTAAACAAGATCAAATATTTTGTTTACATTTTTCTTATAAAAATATGAACGTAGAATATATTTTGTTTCTTCCATATTTTCTTTATATAATGTCCTCGTACTAAAGTATTATTTCTCTCGGATAAACTAACTTAATTTGCTGTAATTTATAAATTTAAATAAAAATATGGACTCAAGTTAAAAGAAATTTAAAATAGTTTATAATTAAGGAAGTACCTTATTCTTATCTATAAGTAATAAATGTAATCTAATTTTTATCTGATTTTGAAGGGGAAAAGAAAACAAATGTTATATCTAATAACAAAAAGAAAATCTGTTATTTCAAAAGAGAGATCTAAATAGCCCTAGGGTATATTGAGGATAACAATTAAAATAAAAAATATGTAAAAAAGGACATGTCAAGTCTTACATATAGAGAAAAAATGTGCAATATGGTTTAAAAACGTAACATTTTAAATAGTATTTTCTTGTTCACTTCATTTTTCTTATATTATGCATTAAATACATTATCACAAAGTCTAAACTCTTACCTCAATATTAAAGTAGCTATGCACTATTTAATTAGAACTTTGCTGATCATTATAACAATATAATATATATATATATGTGCATTTGAGTGAATCAATAATTCAATTTGTTGTCCGCATGAAATTTCGAAAGTATTTTAAAGCGTTTTGAAAGATTTTGGTGACAGATATTACACGGATTTTTCATAATACACTACTTTTTCACAAAGAATAAACAAACGGCCATTTTTGTACATTTTCAGAAAGTGAACTGAATATTGCAAAAATTTTCTGTAACCTTCAAAGAATGCTACACTAAACCAAAGACGTGCAAATTAAATCCTTCTAACCTTGGTTAGCATTGTTTTATGGTGCAAATTAAATATGAACATGGTTCAATTTAGCATCTTATTAAGTTTTGAGGAAATTCGCGTTATATTATAATTATTCAATTTTTCTAAGAATTTAATTTTTACATTAGGGAGTGGTTTTTAACTGGTGGCGAATGAAATGTCTGTTCAAAACTTTAAACAAACTGCAGTAAAAAGTTTTGTTAAGCTATTAACCTCCAGTAAATTGTTCAAAAATGGCCGTTCTTAAGCGCAATAAAATGTTTCATATAAACTCAATTTTGAGCATTAGAAAATAGTTACATTCATGGTGAAAGAAAGGCATGCTAAAAAGAAATACTATTGATCAAAACTTTTATTCAGTACCCAAAATATCTACTTTCGTTATACATAAAGACTAACTTTCATTAATTAAAAATTAAATTTGAACAGCATGTTAAACCTTAATTTGGCAGAAATAAAATTCATTCTTCAATGTCCATAACCGAATTTATAACTACATGGAAAACCAAAAAGATCACTAAGATCGTCATATTTGGCTTCATTATGCGAGCTAAAATAAACATTATTATTTTTTTCACGGTGAATTTAAAGTTCTTGAACTTACCTTTTATTCGACATAGATGAAAATCATTCCCTAATGTAAAATATCAAATGTCTAAATGAAAACTAAATAAAAATGAAAGTAAAAATGCCTATTTTGTAGACTTCGTAGTGTCGAAAAAAGTGCGAAAACTCAAGTTTACTAGTTACAGACATAGAATTGCAGGAAGAAAAAATCGAAATTTCACATTTCTTAAATATATTTGAAATTTTTCTCCACCCTAATATAAATATACTCATATGACAGTGTTTATTTCATTTATACACTGTCTACAATATATATGAATGTACTTGAATGGGCAAAAGTAGGGCATTCTTAAAAATTTTTATAAAGAGTTATAGTTCGAAACTAGAAAAAATAGTCCACTGTGACTTGAGACTGGAACACAGTAGATCATCTTTGAATTACAAAATTTAATCTAAATCTAAAAATATTGTATTTATATTTTTGACTTCATACTCTTGGGTAGTATGGAAGAAATTTTCTCGTTCTATATATTGCAAAATTTTTCAAGTACAAATACGTTTTTAAATTGGAATATCTATTACCTTTTCTGTCTCATTTTTTACTTTATAAGTAAATTTTTCACTATTTTCTTCACAGCCATTACAAAACTTACATTTTCGAATAGAATCCTTTGTCAAATAGAATTATTTAATCCTAATTAGAATTACTTTAGTAAAATTATTTTGACGAAGCGCGTAACATCAAAATCTGAGCTTCGTCAGGTAGAATTATGTAATGTGTACAACTATGTATTTATTTGCAATTGTTCTATATAAATATTTTATTTCTTCTAATATTCTATTAACTTAAGTTTTATTTAAAAACAGAATATTGCATCGGTATTGTTTTAACTATTATTCCTTTTTTTACTGTATTCAATATTATTACTGTAGTTATCACATTGTAGAGAGAACTGTAAATATAAATTTGAAAGTAATGTTATAGTGCACCAATAATTGTCCAGTCAATAAAAGTATTTTCATCTTTACATATTAGCTATAGTGATTTATTCTGCTTATTTGATTTTAAAATTTTAAAACACACATTCCATTTCTTTTGTTTCTCATGATTAATTTTGAAAAAAATACGTAATATAGATAATGTGTTTTGTACTCTTTATACATATGAGCTAGTGATAAGTGTAAATAATTTATTATGTGCTTATTTATTTATTTTATTTTTGAAAAAACATGTTTAACTTATTTGATATTTTAATCAATTTTAACATGTGAAAAGATGTTGTATTTTGCTTTATAGTAACACACATCTAAGCTAGTGAGACTTGTAAATATATGTTGCGTAATTTTTTTTAAAAAAATTACTTTTCTCTAAAAATGTTTAAATTTTATTTTCCAAAGCAAACATATATTAAAATGATATGCTGTTTTGCTGATTGTAACAGATATCTGAGCCAGTGATACTTGTAAATACATTGTTGTATATTTAAGTGTTAAGTAAACATCGGAATTTTTAAGCGACGATGGTTTGAAAAACGAAACTGCTGTGAAAAATTAGTTGGTGATTTGAACTGAGTTCAGTAAAATTTGTCTTTGCCTAAATATTATAAAATTTAAAAACTAGTTTGTTTATTTGTTTGTTTTTTTTCTTCCTTTTTTCGTTTTGAAAAATAGCTTTTTTAAGTCTTTAGCAATGTTTATTCAATTTTATTAACGAAACTATTTCACTGATTTATTCTCAAATTATTTTAAGATTATTGTTTTATTATATGTTTAGAATGTAGATTTATTGTATATGTTAATGGCAGCACTTTATCTGTAATTCATTCTGCATAAGTGTTTCACATTTCAAGAAACTCTGAAAAATTGGAAAACAACAATGACTTGTAAATTTTTATGTGCCAAATTAGAAATAAAGCATACACTGTGTACATGTTTTTGAATGATTATTATAGCTTTTAACATTTATACTCGAGTCATAAAAAAACTTGAATCACATTAAAACTGAGTGATATCATTTGATTTCAAATCAAGTAGTTATGAAATTCTTCAGGAGAGAGAAATAACATTTCACTTTTATACGCATACTGTTAACAATAGATCAAATCTTTGGTACGAGGAAGTTACGTCTTTTCTCCTATATAAACGAAATAACTGTTGTGGTACTTTTTGAATTGACATGTCAGTGAATGAAGTAAGTCTTTACAGATTTTTAATGGCATCAACAAAGTCTTTTGCACTCGAAACATAATAGTCACTTCAATTTTTATTTTGTTTATTTATAAAATTAAAATAGTATGTATAACTTTGCATTTTCTGAGCTGAGAAAAAAGTATGGCCATAACTATTATAATACGGAAAAATTTACCGTTTATTAAAAATGGTTTCATAATTTGCGAAAAAATTTGGCAAATGTGTAAAAATTCTGTAATTTTATTGTGATACCCAAGAGCATGGCATAAAAACAACTTTTTTTGTTAAATTTACTTTTTAGTTTTATATTTTTTATTAAAAGTTATAAGAACAACTGTATTTTTGAAAACTCGAATTTCTGGAAATCCGTCATTTTATGAACTTAAAAATTACCAAAGGAATGGTTTAAATACCTTATATTTTGGTTTTAATTTAAAGAATTGTGTTGTTGTTATTTTTACAAGAAATGCCATTGCCATTCAGTACAGTAATTTTTACAGAATTTTTTTACAAG